TGTTTTTGTGTAGACTTCTTTTCACAACATGAAACTTAAAATATATTTAAAATGGAAAATTTGTATAAGGAAATATCGATTTTGTAATTAGGCTCCGCCCCATAAATGCAAAATCCTATTATTTCTCCACAAGAAATTTGCGTATCTTGTTAGTCAAAGAATGTACTACGTATATTAAGAAAAAATTAAGGCAAAAGATTAGGCCCCACCAATATATTTAAAGCAGATAACATACGGGAAAAATGTCCTCTCAGTAATGATGACATGCTTAACTTCGAGTGTTTATTTTTATAATTCCCAAGAAGGCGACGAATAGCACGGTCATTTATCAAGTATCAGCGGTGTTCAAGAGAAATATGAACTATCTTGCATAGATTTTTTACCAAGTTCGAAGCGGGTTTGCTTATATTTAGCAAATTAATAGAGAAAAAGAAAAAATTAATTTTCCAAAAAAATTTTGAAGAATGTTCCTACTATTATGGAACAAACACTAATACATGAAGAACTCTTAGTCGATTCTGAATCTAAAGTTATTTTATTTTCAAACGTCATATAACTGACACTTATATGACGCTTTTACTTATACTCCGCCGGCGTATAAATATGTGAAAATAATAGTGGTTGTCAATCATAGTAACCATGGTAAGTGAAATCAAGGCAATTCCTTAATGAAGCAAGAAGATAGGAAATAATCATTTCAAAAGAAGATTAATCGTTTGAAAATAAAATATTGTATTTCATTCGGAGTTTAAGTGACTTCATGTGACTCGTATAGACTTAATTAATCGTCCATACTCGACACATAAAGTATCACTTAAACTCCTAATAAAATAAATATCTATTGGCCATATTTTTTCAAATAAATGCTAAAAACTGAACAAATTTTCAAAAATTTTCCAAAAAAAAAAATATATTAAAATCTCTTAGGAAGAAAATGCTGGATTGTCAAGTATTTTCCTTAAATTACAAATTTGAAATTATTTTAAATAAAACTCGTCACCCATAGTCATCACATAGCGAGAAAAATACGAAAATATTAAAAAAAAAATTCCAAACGAACTTGAAACTTGTCTTTATTATCATGGAAAAACACTAGTGCGTGAAAAATTCTTCGTAGATTCCGAATCTCGAAAAGGTTACTTTGACTATATTTCTCCAAATAAATGCTAAAAGCTGCGAAATAAATTGCAAAAGTTTAACAAAAAAAAGGGAAAAAATGTTGGATTATTAAATATTTTCTGTAATTTACAAATTTGAAATCATTTTTAATAAAACTCCTCAATTAAGTGGGAAAAATGGAAAAATATTTCCAAAGTGTTAAAAAAAACTAAATTTTTTGTACACTTCGAACTAAACTTAGTCGTAGTTAGCTAAATAATAGAGAAAAGGAAAAAATAAATTCCGAAAATTTCAAAAAAAAATGTTTAACATGTTTTATTGGCATGAAAAAAACACTAGTAAAAGAAAAATAAATTCTTCGTCGATTCCAAATCTAAAGGTACTTTGGAAATATTTCCTCGAATAAATGTTAAAAACACCGTGAAATAATTTCCAAAAATTATCCAAAAAAAAACTAAATTTAAAACGTGCTACAATCTAAGAGAATAAATGCTAGATTTTTAAATACATATTTTCCGCAAATTACAAAGCTTGGCATTAAACGTGAGACCACAGGGTCGTACAGATAATAATTACCGACAACTCTATGAAGGCTTTTATCCCGTGTTAGTAATAAAATACATATTATTATAATTTGCTAATTTTTTTGCGAAAATTTGGACGTTTAGAAAAAAAATTCGTAGAGCACAAACACAGAAATATATTATTGTATATATAGGGGGGGAGCCTAATTGCAAAATCCATATTTCCTTAAAAAAAATTACCATTTGAAACGTGTTTTAAGTTTCCAAGAATAAAAAAACCATCACAATTGAGATGGGGTGGGTGGGCGGGGTTTATATTTGTTTTTTTTTTCTTACTATACATTATTTTTTGAACAACATGATGCCCAAAAATATGTGTATAATTCTTTGTAAAGAAATAAGTATTTTGCAGTTAACCTTATGTTAAGCTTGGTTAACGGCGAATAAAAAAATCATTACAATTGAGATAGGGCGGGTGGGCGGGCTTATATTTTGACTTTTTTTTTAATATATGTAGACTTCTTTTCACAACATGAAACTTAAAATATATTTAAAATGGAAAATTTGTATAAGGAAATATCGATTTTGCAATTAGGCTCCGCCCCATAAATGCAAAATCTGGTCTGCCAGCGAATGAAAACTTTATTACTATTTAGATCAGGGCAGGTATGGGTGGGGTTTAATTTTTTCTTAATATACATTGCATTCTTTGACCAACACAATACTGAAAAACGTGTTTTTATACTAACTCATAGAGAAATAGGGATTTTGCAGTTAAGCCCCGCCCCCTTGGCTCACGACGAATAAAAAAAATCATCACAATGGAGACAGGGCGGGTGGGCGGGCTTACATTTTGCCTTTTTGTTTTAAAATGTGTGTAGACTTCTTTTCACAACATGAAACTTAAAACTTGTTTTAAATGGAAAATTTGTACAAGGAAATATCGATTTTGCAATTAAACTCCGCCCCATAATTGCAAAATCGGTATTTCCTTGCAAAAATGTACCATTTTAACTATGTTCTAAGTTTTTTGTTGTGAAAATATGGCTATGTATATTAAGAAAAGAAAAGGCAAAATATAAGCCCCGCCCACCCGCCCTATCTCAATTCTGATGACTTTTTTTATTCGTTGTCAGACCAAGGGGCGGAGCGTAATTGCAAAATCGATATTTCCCTATACAGATTTACCATTTTAACATATTTTAAGCTTCTTGTTGTGAAAAGATGACTACACATATTAAGAAAAATAGGCAAAATATAAACCCCGCCCACCCGCCCTATCTCAATTGTGATGATTTTTTTATTCGTCGTGAGCCAAGAGGGCGAAGCTTAATTGCAAAATTCTTATTTCTCTACAAGAAATAAAAAACATGTTTTTGAGTATCGTTTAAAACACGTTTAAAGTGGTAAATTTTTGTAAGGAAATATGGGTTTTGCAATTAGGCTTCGCCCCTATGTATACAATAATATATTTCTCTGTTCGTGGTTTGTGAATTTTTTCTTTAAACGTCCAAATTTTCGCAAAAAAATTAGCAAATGATAATAATATGTATTTTATTACTAACACGGGATAAAAGGCTTTATAGAGTTGTGGGTAATTATCTACGACTAAAATCAGTTCGAAGTGTACAAAAAATTTAGTTTTTTTAACACTTTGTTTGGAAATATTTTTCCATTTGTCCCACTTAATTGAGGAACTTTATTAAAAATGATTTCAAATTTGTAAATTACAGAAAATATTTAATAATTCATCATTTTCTCCCTTTGTTTTTGTAAAACTTTTGCAATTTATTTCACAGCTTTTAGCATTTATTTGAAGAAATATAGTCAAAGTAACCTTTTCGAGATTCGGAATCTAGGAAGAATTTTTCACGCACTAGTGTTTTTCCATGATAATAAAGACAAGTTTCAACTTCGTTTGAAAATTTTTCAAAAATATTTTCGGATTTTTCTCGCTGTGTGATGACTATGACTGACGAGTTTTATTTAAAATAATTCCAAATTTGTAATTTAAGGAAAATACTTGATAATCCAGCATTTTCTTCCTAAGACATTTTAATATTTTTTTTTTTAAATTTTTGGAAATTTTTTCAGTTTTTACCATTTATTTGAAAAAATATGGCCAAAATAACTTTAGATTCAGAATCGACTAAGAGTTCTTCATGTATTAGTGTTTGTTCCACAATAGTAGGAACATTCTTCAAATTTTTTTTAGAAAATTAATGTTTTTCTTTTTCTCCATTAATTTGCTAAATATAACTAAAACCGCTTCGAACTTGATAACAATTCTATACAAGATAGTTCATATTCCTCTTGAACACCGCTGATACTTGATAAATGACCGTGCTAATCGTGGGTTTCTTTGAATTATAAAAATAAACACTCGAAGTTAAGCATGTCATCATTACTGAGAGAACATTTTTCCCGTATGTTATCTGCTTTAAATATATTGGTTTTGCATTCTCCGTAGTGTGAATTGGGGATGGATATAGGTGGGGCTTAATTTTTGACTTGTTTTTTTCTTAATATATCTAGTATTCTTTGAACAACACAATACTCAAAAACATGTTTTCTATTTCTTGTAGAAAAATAGGGGTTTTGCAATTAAGCTCCGCCCTCTTGACTTACGCGAATAAAAAATTCATCAGAATTAAGATAGGGTGAGTGGGCGGGGCTGATATTTTGCCTTTTTTTTTTCTTAATATACATAGCCATCTTTTCACAACAAGAAATTTAAAACATGTTTAAAATGGTAAATTTGTATAGTAAAATATCGATTTTGCAAAGGCAAACACCTTGATCTTGTTTTCACCCCTTATCCCATAAATTCGTAGCATTTAATTTTTTATTCTTTATATTGTTCCATATTCCCCTAAGTCATGAAACCTTTAAGAATGAACTTGGTATCATTAAACAAATTGCCATTAGTATTAGTAGTAAATTTCCCTTACACCTAGTTATAAAAGTTTTCTATAAAACCCTATATCAACATAAACTCTCCCTTAAATTTACGCCGACTTCTAATTACAGGTTATCTCCTTCTTTACTCTCTATCTCCTTCTTTGATTTTCCTTCTGTGTCCATTTTCAAAATTTTCAAAAAACTAAATCATAACATTGCCTTTAAGACCTCCTTGAACCTTTTTTCTTTGTTTGTATTTAGGTTGGCATTAGTCTTGTCACTAATAAGTGTCAAATTCGTACAAAAGTGCATTTTTTACCATTTTAAACTGAAAATTGCCGAGCTATAACAATAACACTAGTTAGGACAATAATTTTTTTATATCAATAATTAATTATTTATAATAAAACGTTAATTAGATCTTGGAAGAGAAATTGCACTTTGATAATGTCATACGCTACTTGTCAATTGTCATTTTCAGATTTGGCAGTGCCAAAACATTTTTTTGTGTGAAATTTTTTCCCACCCGCGCCTAGTGACATTCCCTCTTCAAGTTGGCAACCTGTCGCGCCAATTCTTATCGCCATTGCCTCCTTTGATTTTTTGCGACATCAATTTCACGTAAGTTTCAAACACCTCCAAAGCCCCCCAAACTAACTCCTCTCGTAGAAAATGTCCGCAATGAGCTTCTTCTACTTCTCCGTGTGCCACGTGTGCAAAATCGAGAGCGCCACTTTGAAAAAATGCAGCAAATGCAAGCTAGTCCACTACTGCAGTCAAGAGCACCAGCGGCAGGATTGGCAGGCCCACAAAGACCTCTGCAAGGTGATAACCGACACAAGCACGCGGTTCAGGTTCACCGGGCGCAGCCCCACGGCGTTCAACCGGTTCAAGATCGTCACTGGGGTGCTGTGGCACTTCGAGCTCGGGCGAGACCTCAGCGTGAGCGAGCACGAAATGTGGATGTACCCAAAAGTCTGCGCCGTCTGCTACAAGGGTTTGGTGAACATCGTGTGCACCAAGTGCTGGAGCGTCGTTTACTGCTCCGAAACGCACCGCATGCTGCACGAGACGCAGCACAAGGAGTTCTGCTCCAAGCTGAAGCTGTGTCTGAAGATCCACCAGGTGATGTTCAGCGAAGAGCGGGAGTGGGAGCGGTTGAGTTTTGATTTTGACGACTCTGTGTTGGAGCTGCCGGATAATATTTGCGACGTCGTGAGGATGATAAAGTTTAAGAACGACGTTGACTACTGGAAAAAAGCTTTGGATTTGATTCTGATGACGGAGTTTTTCTGTTCTGCGGTCAATGTAGTCTACGCTTTGGAGACGTGTAAGTTCGTGGAGAGGCGTATTGCTATTAAAACTAAGTTGGTTATTCATACTACAACGACTGAGATTAGCGAGAACACGAGCTGGGGGGTGCTCATGGAGTTTTTGTCCCACTGGATTTATAATCTGGAAGGGGTTAAAATTTACGTCGTCAGTACTGCTTTGCACAAAGAGCGACGCTTGTCGTTTAGTCTCAATTGTGGCGCTTGTAGAGAAAAGCGATTTAACTCTTCGGTGATGTTTATTAAGGCGGAATATCACGAAGTTGTTGGTAAAATTCCTTGCCCCGATTTGATCGTTATGTTTAATCCATGTCTCCCGGATGTGGGTTTGGTTGAGTGGAGTGAAACCGTCCCAAAGCTGCTGGCATACCAAAACGCCCCCATCATTCTCACGTCTTATACTATGGAAGAGTTGCAAAAGTCCGTCGGGAAGTTCCCTCCACCATGGATCAAGTCCTATGTCAAACCTCAAGAAAATCTGTACAGTAGCTTGAGACCTGTCAGGAATTCCGAGGAGGGGTCTGATCCTGTTATCTACCGCAACAATTTCGTCTCAATTATTGCCAAAAATTAAAACATAATTTAGGTTTACCCTGGGTTGGTCTTATTGCATATAATTTTATTTTTGATGTTTTTCAAGTTTTCTTTGTTCATTAAAATACTACATTACTACCATAATTTATTCTTTCATATAAATTTTGATACCTTAATTTAGTCTGTAGTTCGTGACACAAGACTGACTTTAAATAGGAATTATTCCTGTGATACCTACAACTATGAAATTACCTTGGGAATATTACCATTGGACCAAAGATTGTAGTCACTGTTTAACTGAAACCCCATCTAGAAAAGGTTTAATATTATTGTGTCGTTATATTTGATAAGAGTGTACTTGACTGAATTCGTTGATCATTAATATGTCATTAATCCTAGTTCGGTATCATAGTTTAAAATATTCACGGGTGAACATAACCTCTTATTTGCATGCACAAATCGCCTGGAGTTTTTTCACTAAGACAGAGGAAGTCTGAGGAAGAGCATTTGCGACTTAATTAACTCATTAATGTGAGTTTTAGTCGTGTTTATTAAATTTAAAGTGTTTCGAAACATTTTAGAAAAAAGTAGGGTTATGTGATAATTCTCTAAATGACAAGTGACAGATGTGGTACTGTATTGCGCGGGCAAAATTAGTCTGGAAACTGATTTTGGAAAATGTTTTTTGACCAAATAATTTTAACATTAATTTAATTAACATTTTTTGTTAAAATCTCGACTGTTCGTCTTGAAATAAATATAATTGTGTATCTCAAAATATTCTAATTTTTTCCCCAAAAAAAGTCCAACTTGACAGATTTCGATAAAAATAATACGATATCCTAAGGAAAAAATAAAAATCTTACGATACTATCACTATAAATCACCGAACATAGGCCACCAAGTGTTTGCTAGAGTGGAAATAGTTTGAGATGAATACACCATCCGCTTGTATGTTTGTCCGTTTCTTTTGATTGATTGAACGGTCTAGCTACAAAAATACATACTCCTTCTTCATTTCACTGGCTTAATATATCTACAGTAAAATGGGAATTGAATTCTGATTTAACAAGCGGTAGAATCTACACCCTTCTCCGGTTTTGATTACTGATTTATTGGTTTGTAGATTGACAAATAATAGATTTTAGGACTACATTTTTTTTATAAAATTTTGTTTTTTGTTAAAAAACGCCTTTATCGTCACCATTTACATTGAAATAATTAAAAATCTATGAAGTACGCACAATGAAGTAGAATTATAGACACCACCCCTCTTCTTAATAGAATGATTTATTAAGGTGGAGTTTGAGCGAGTGGGAGGAGCATCGGTAGTATTGATTTTTACATATAATTCTCACGTCTGGTATACTTATTTAACACCAGCTGGATACGTTTTAGGTGCTTTGTTCACAATTTATGTATTTTTTCACCAACGGTGTAACAGATTTGTCTAAAATTCTAATAAATTGATAATGTTGTAATCAATTATCAGTATTAAGAGTGGTCACTAGAATCAAGAGGGGGCGGGTGGGCGGGGCTATTCCTTGCTAAGAAGACTGGAAAAACTAAAGTTAGCTCCGCCCACCTCCTTTCTCAATTTCACTGACTTATTTTTATCTACTCTGATAAAATCAACCTCTAAAATTTTTATAGAAGTCACTTGACTTGACCTGACGTAACCTGACCTGACCCGCCATGACGTATAAAATTTTTATCTTTTGACTTTTGCATTTTTGAAGTCTATTTTCGAATAAACATGAATTTTTGAAAAAGAGATCTACTTTGTGTAAAAATGTCCCTCCAAATAAGGAAAAAACCAACTTAAAAGTGGGTTTATATTTAAATTTGCGCTATTATATAGATTTTTGAAATTTTTTTCTCAAAAAATTCAGCAATTCAAAAATAAATAATGCTATAATCTTGAAAAAAAAGAATTATTTGTTACAAATAAATTGGTTACGTCTACGTTTATACAAGTATGATTTTTAATAAACAGCTCGAGTTCGGAGGAACAGTTGAAGTGGAAAAACCCGGCAATCGTTCTAGCTATTGTATCTATAATTAATATTTGAAAAAACAAATATTTTACCGTTAAAAATAATAAAATAGAATTAGCAGTTGTCAAATAATTTACTCTTCAAACAAAAAAGTGATGTAATTCTTGGCTGAATGCTGGTCTCCACTTATTATTCTTTAAACAAAATTTAGTATCCGAACTCAGATTTTTAACCTAGATCTAACATCTAACATACGAGGAAAACCAAAAAATGTACAAATAAATAATACTTCTGGTATTTTCAAGACATTTTTTGAAATGTTAAAATTAGTGGCAACTACGTGGGAAAAATTTTCCGAGATAGAGAATTACTTTGTTCCACATAAATTGATTTTTTTATATTTAGCATCTTTTCTTTTAATGTTTTTTCAAATGTAGATTTACTTTCACCTCATGCAATTTTATATTTTACTTTGTTTTTATTACACGAAGTCTTCTTTTCACAAGAACCTTCAAACGGGTTTAAAATGGTAAATTTTCGTAGGGAAATATGGATTTTGCAATTACGCTCCACCCTTCGGTCTAACAACCAGTAAAAAATTAATCACAATTGAGGTAGGGCGGGTGGGTGGGGCTTATATTTTACTTTTTTTTAATATATGAAGTCTTCTTTTCACAACAAGAAACTTCAAACGTGTTCAAAATGGTAAATTTTTGTAAGAAATATGGATTTTGCAGTTACGCTCCACCCTTCGGTCTAACAACCAGTAAAAAATTCATCACAATTGAGATAGGGCGGGTGGGTGGGGCTTATATTTTATTTTTTTAAATATACGAAGCCTTCTTTTCACAAGAAGAAACTTCAAACGTGTTCAAAATGGTAAAATTTTATAGGAAAATATGGATTTTGTAATTATGCTTCGCCTCTCGATCTGACAACAAATGAAAAATTAATTACAATCGAGATAGGGCGGGTGGGTGGGGCATATATTTTCCTTTTTTTAATATACGTACAAGAAACTTGGTTTTAAGTATTGTGTTGTTAAAAAAAACTATATATATTAAGAACAAAACAGAAATGTTAAACTCCCCTCCCCCAGATCTCAATTGTGATGAATTTTTCGTTCGTTTTCAGACCGAGGGACGGAGTGTAATTGCAAAATGCAGATTTCCATCCCCCAAAAATTTACCATTTTAAATATATTTTAGGTTTCTTCTTGGGAAAAGAAAACTACGTATATTAAAAAAAAGGGACAAAATATAAGCCCCACCCACCCACCCATTCCAATTCTGATGATTTTTTTATTCGTTGTGAGCCGGAGGGGTGGAGTTTAATTGCAAAAATCCTTATTTTTCTACAAGAAATTACCACGTGGAACATGTGTTTAAGTAATCGCGTTCTTAAAAAACAACCATATGGATATGTATGACATAAAAAAGGATGTCAAAGATTAAACCCCACCTGTACCCGCCCCAATATCAAAAATTTACGATTTTGAACACGTTTGAAGTTGCTTGTTGTGAAAAGAAGACTTCATATATTAAACAAAAGGAAAATATGAGCCCCACCCACCCACCCTGTCTCAATTGTGATGAATTTTTACTGGTTGTTAGACTGAAGGGTGGAGCGTAATTGCAAAATCCATATTTCCCTACGAAAATTTACCATTTTAAACCCGTTTGAAGGTTCTTGTTGTGAAAAGAAGACTTCGTGTAATAAAAAAAAAAAGTAAAATATAAAATTGCACGAGGTAGAAGAAAATCTACATTTGAAAAAAACATTAAAAGAAAAGGATGCTCAATATAAAAAAATCAAGTTCTGTGGAACAAAACAATTCTTTATATCGGAAATTTTTTTCCCACGTAGTTACCACTAATTTTAAAATTTTCAAAAATTTCTTGAAAATATATTATTTTTTGGGTTTCCTCGTATCTTAGATGTTAGATCTAAGTTAAAAATCTGAGTTCGGATTTATCATCTACAGAAAATATTCAGCCGTACGATGCTTTGTTTTGGTTAGACATTGGTAAATTTAATATTTAAAACAATTTTTGAAGGATAATTTTTTCCTCAAAAATTACGTGGTCAAAAACCATTTTCCAAAATCAGTTTGTAGACTAATTTTGCTCAGCTGAGTCCGTTTCTGCCACTTATTGTTGAAAATTTTCACTATTTTAACTCATACAAACCAAATTTTGAGTTTGAGTTGAGCGGAGAAAGTTCGGGATTTCTCGAAAATTAAAAAAATTAATAAATAAAAACATCGGGAGCCATCCTACAATTTTTTGAGACCATAATCTTATTCAGGAGGTTCGAATTAACTAATGGAGCAATTTTTAGTCAAATCGGGGTCCGTTTAAGCCAGATAGCTTGTTATGGCTTAAAACCGAAAATTTGGGCAACAGAAAATTTGTCCAAAAAAATTAAAGTTTTCCAGTCTGCCTGAAATTCCGTTTCTTGACTAATTTAGCCCCGCTGAGTCCGTTTCTGGCATCAGTTGTTGAAAATTTTCGCAATTTTAAACGAAATCCTTCTTTAATCTTTATTAAAAATTTAATTTTTTTGTTTGACGGTCCATAACTGCCGAGCGGCCAAAATTGGCGTATTTGGATTTTCCTGATTTATACGAAGATGTCTAGTAAAAACAAGCACAAATTTGTAATCTGTGACAAATATTCCACACGCTACAAAATTATATTGAAAATGAATTATTATCGTTTTCCTCATTTTCTTGGACAAGTCACCCAAGAAACAAAAAACGCAAAAGTGCATCATAAAATCATTCCCAATGGTTCTTTACTACCATAAATGCAATCTAAGTAATTCGTTTTTCCTATTTGGAATCAAAAATATTTCCCTTGCAAAACATTTTGTTTGTGAAAATTTTTCCCACCCGCGCCTGGTTACATTCCCTCTTCAGGTTGGCAACCTGTCGCGCCAAATCTTATCGCCTTTGATTTTTTGCGACACCAATTTCACGCAAGTTTAAAACACCTCCATAGCCCCCACACTACCTCCCCTCGTAGAAACTGTCCGCAATGAGCTTCTTCTACTTCTCTGTGTGCCACGTGTGTAAAAAAGAGAGCACCACTTTGAAAAAATGCAGCAAATGCAATCTAGTCCACTACTGCAGTCAAGAGCACCAGC